CTTCATCGAGTTGACCGTTTCCCTTAAATTGGAGCATAAATCGGGTCATTTGAAGGTTCCCACTACTTGCATTGCTGTTGATTATATACCGAAATATTACTCGTGAAATTTTCCTAGAAGAAAACACAATATTCCAGATTTCTTTCACAAGTAACTTTAAAAAATTAAAAATTAGTGCAAACATTTTCTCCCTTTTAAATGGCAAACCTCTCTGCAGCCCGGAGATGAGGGAGTGAGACGAGCTGCTTGGTCCCAGGGCAGTCGCCTTGGACTTCGACACGGACCGAGGGTGTGGGCACCGATGGCCTCGGAGCGCCCTGAAGACAGAGCTCATGTCGCACACGGGATATTCCGGGGGCCAGGGAAATAAGGTGGCAGTTTCATCCTGGGGGTGGGGCATCATCAAAAAGTAAAATAAAGCTAGTTTCACTTTATTCAGAGTTGAGACAGCGTCTCCGCAGAGTGAGGGCCCTTCTGAAAAGCAGGGAGGGAGCCTCCAGGGCCGGAGGAGGGAAGACAGGCTCGGGGGGAGGAGCCCAGGGGCCCCCCAGGAGGACCCCAGCACCTCCATTCTCACCCGTGAGGAGGGGACTCCTGGGTTGTTATTATTTCATCTTCCCTGGTAGGAGATAAAGAAATAAAGTAGAAAAATGGAGTCAAATAATTAAAAACCTTTTTAAAAAATGTGTAGCCCAGAGAAGTTACAGCTCAGCCCATATCCCCACCTTCACACAGGCCCCAGGCATTTTCTTCCCCAAACCGGGACCTCCGCCCTCTCTCTCCCGTCACTCGGTCACTCCGGGGGGCTCCACAGCCCGCTCCCCACCACCCCGTGACCCCGTGAAAGGGGAAGCTTGCCACACACCCAGAGGTCCCCCCAGAGGACCCCACTGATGCGTTTTTATACTCAAGACATAACCCGAGTTTCAACACACAAGTTTAATTCCAAGTTTATTTCTGCAAACATCTTGGGTTAAACCTGGATGTTTATTTAAATCAGTGCGCAGGACACTCTAAGTCAAAATTTCAGCTCAGGAATTTAGAGTTTTCTGAAGAACAGCTTAAAACATGCCGTGTATAGGTTTAATTTAAGATCTGCTAAAACTCAAAAGCGCCATGCAGAAGAGAGACCATAATTCTCATTGTAAAGGACTGGGGACAATAAATCCACGTGACCTTCTCAGGCAAGTTTACGACCAGGCCGTGACCGGGCAGGGGCTTTATGAGGGGTCGGGGCACGTGCGGTCCCCAAAGGCTCCCCGCGCTTTATTTAACAGATTAAACAGGGTCTCACTCCTCAGGTCTCGGTAGGACCCCCCCTTTCTAAAAAGCATCGACGTGTGACATGACGCCTCAGTCCCCCAACAGGGACTTCAGTTCTGCAAACAGAACCCAGACGTCGTCATGTGAAGGGAATCGTAAGGATCGTTCACCCCGACCGGTTATTTCACGGGGGGGAAACTGAGTCCTGCGGAGAGGAAGGGGTGAGATCGCCTCCCATCAGCGACGTAACAGAGCCCCGACTCCTCGCCACCCGGGCCTGTTTCTGCTCCTAGCACAGCCTGGTGCTGCGCCTGGGTCGTGTTTTTTCTTACACGGAAAAGCATTTAAATCACACGCCTCCTGGTTCCCAACCAGCACGTCTAAAAGCGGAAACAACTGCGTGCGAGGAGCGGTGGGTGATGCGACCTCCCTCGTTAATCCCAAACCTAACTGCGGGCCTTCCCGGCCACACGAGAGAAGCCAAATGCCACCGCCTCTCGCTCTGAAATCCCGTCACCCCCTCCGCACAGTCCCTGCGCCGACCCCCAGGGAGGCCAACCCCTCACCCCTGGCTCCCTGACCCCGGGCTCCCGGGTTCCCGGTTCCGGGCCCGCATCTCCTTTTTCGGCCGGCGGGCTTTGGAGCCCGTCTCCCATTGGGCTGTCATCTCCAAACTTCTCACTGAAAAGCTGCCCGTCAGGCCTCTCGGAACCCTCCTCCCCCCCCCCAAAGCCTCCAGAAAGAAACTGAACTCCCTCCCGGGTCCTGCAAGACCCTTGGGGGCTTGGTGTGTGAGAATCACGTTGGGAATGGCAAGAGCTCTGCCCAGGCCTCTTCCCTCCCTTGGCGCCCAGGACCCCGGGACCCAGGCCGATGTCCCAGAACAGGACATGGAAGGGCCACCCTGGGGAGAGGGACCAGCCACTAAGAGGGTGAATGTAACGACCAGGCCGACCTCCCAGGTGTCACCGCCCCCGGCTGGTCATCTTAGAGCAAGTCTATGGGTGACAACAGCCCCTTCACCAACACGCACACACGCACGCACACACACACGCACACGCACGCACATGCACACACATGCACACGCACGCACATGCACACACGCACACACGCGCACACACACGAGCTGCCAGTCAGTTCTTTAATTCCAAGCTCTTGGCATTAAACTCTCGGCTGTGGGACTCATGTCAGCCCCCGAGACATTAGCAAATAGGACACAAGCGACGGTTTGACAGCTGTGAGTACAGCTCGCGTTCTTTGTCCCGCGGTCGGAGTCGAAACCACAGAGAGAAGCAGCACCAGCTAGCCCGCTGGAGGAGCCACGTGGACGAACGCCGAGGCTCCCCGGCCGACAGCTTTCTGACCACATGGCCTGTGACTGAGGCCACCTCAGGCTGGAGCCGCGAGGTGACCACGGGCACAAGGGTGACACCAGGCGGGGAGTCAGCAAATCCGCCTTGCTGAACGCAGTGCGACCCGCCCGTGGCCGGAGCATCGAGACAGACTTGAGGGAGTGAGGAAGTCGGCCGTGTGGCCATCCAGGTGGCAGAGAGTTCCAGGGGGGCCTTCACACGGGGGCACCCACTGTGTGGGGCGCAGCTTTGGGGATGGACTTCCAAGCTGCACTGCAGACCGAGCCTCAGGGGAACAGGGGTCCAGGGTACCCCGAGTCCAGGAGCTGCCTCCGGCTCCCCAGCCATGCCACGCCCGCTGTGCTGCACTCGGAAAACACATGTCCGTGCCCTTCCTCCAGATCAGTGACCAGACACTGTGCTGCCAGGGGGACCACACGGCCCCGCCGTGGGACTTAACAAGGAGCGCGGGGCCCCTCCTCCCTTCCACACCCACCGGAGTGCATCTTGCTGACCAGGGCTGCCAGCGTCTGAGGAAGGTCGTTTTGAGCCTTCTGTCCCCTGTGATTCAGGAGGGAGCAGTAGAGCAAGGAGGGGAAGGGGAGCGGGCACCCGCCCACCCGACGCGGGCAGGCCGGCCGGTAGCATCCTATGAGCAGTGGCAGAGCCGCCGTGAGGAAGGCCTGTCATTCGCCGCCCTGAGCCGCCTTGCAGAGGCTTTTAGAGGAGAGTCGGCCTCCACGTGGCGTGGGCCCTGGCCGTTGGGTGCCGGCCCTTCCGAAGTGCCAGCCGCCCGTGCTGGGTGCTGGTGTGACTGCTGTAATTGAGGCAGATGACCTGCTGGGAGACCTGCCTTCCCGTCACCAGCAGGAGAGACAGACGCAGGGACTGGACACAGGCTCCTCTCCCCTGAAATGCGTCCGGTTGTGGGGAAGGGGTGTCACTGGGCCCATTGAAGCTGGGCCAGCAAGGAGGGTCTGGGTCCCAGGATCCCCAACCTAGGGGCACGCGGGGCGCAGTGCTGCTGTGGGCCGGGAGCAGGAGGGGCAGTGAGAGGGGAGGAGGGCGCAGGCCCATCGGGCGCACAAAGCCCGGGAAGGGCGCCCCGGCCCCTGGGGGACAGCACCGCAGGGGAGCAGGCTCATCCCGCTTTGTTTTTGTTCCTGAAATTTTTATTTTAGAATTTTAAAGAAAAGGATATCCAAAAGCTTTCTGTTCTGTGGATGAACCAGGGCCTTCCCAGAGCGGGACAAGGTGGTCAGGCGGGTGGGGCGGGCCGGCGACCCCCGAGGGCCCTTAGGTCACAGGATTGTGGAGCCCGCGGGTGGGGAAGGGAAGAGCCAAGGAACCATTAGCTCTGTTCCGCAGCCGCGTCTGCGTGCGGCCGGCTCTTATCGCCAACCGCGCGGGGTCTGCGGGGTGTGCGGGTCTGCGGGGTGTGCGGGGTGTGCGG